CGTATTCATTTCGGCCCCTGTAGTCCGCGGTGCGTTCCGTCATGATCTATGAGCTCGAGAGCGACGAGGATTTCGACTACCAAAGGGACTCGGAAGATGTATGCCAGGGACGAGTAGTCACTCTCGCACATGGTGACCGACAGGCGATTCGGGCTATAGAACCGTGCGAACCATCCGACAGACCGACCGTTCGCCCGACAAAATCTGAAGAGGGTCAGGGTCGCCAAGAAATGCCTCGCATTCAATCATGATTTGCCGACCTGGAGGTGTGCGCTACTATGTGTTTTATTAACAGCGTGCTAACTTACCAGTTTGTTTCGCTTTTCGTGCGGATCGCTGAGCTCTGTTATTAATCTTTTCTTGGAAAAAATATTCGGCACAACCCCTAGTAGCGATCAAATAATCTTGGTAAGAAGACCCAGACTCCTGAGGACATGACAGTGGGTCGCATTTTATAGTCCTTATCACGAAAGTGGTCACCGTATAAGCGATCGGTTTTCACCGGCGCCCAGATAAAAGACGACGGACGCGGGAGACGGATTCACGAGCTTCGGAGTTCCCTATCGTTCGTAAAACCGTGTGTCGGCGTCTCGGAGTTCAGCACGCTGTTGCTGCAGCCCAAACACCGGAACAACTGGTCGGCACTAAACAATCGCACGCCGCGCGAGCAAGCGCGAGCCACCTATTCAGCGTGGCCAACTGGCCAACTCGCCAATTTTACGTGCTTTACCTTGACTCTTCGCGGTTGCGTTTACGGCTAGGGTATCTCTATGAGTACGGTTTACTGCCGAGGATGGCGCCACTGTGGGAGGTGCAACACGTCACGATCCCACAACAAAGCTTCGGCCCCCCAATCACCAGGTGCAAGTGGGAAATCATTTTATTCGTTTTAACATTACTTTTTTTTTTTTTGCGTTTACAAACGAGAGACTGGTGTTGTTCAGATGCTGATGCGACGTGGTATATACCTAAGCAATAAAAGGAGCCCTAAAATTTCGTTCCCGTTCTCCTTTGAAAGGAAGCCAAGACAACAGCATCGGTATGACTTGTCTACAAACGAGGCTGAAACGAGCATCCTTTCCCTAGCCGCTACAATTTCACGTGTTTCTAAATATACAAGACGCTTGGTACGTTCAAGTCCACCAGGAGCATATTTAGTACTATAACACACTGTAGTTCTGTCAACCCAAAAATTAAAAAGAAAGAAAAAAAAAAGTTGAGATATGGTGCGATTTGAACCCAAAACTTTCACGCCGCGATGAAAAGTCTCGCGGCTATGTTCCTATTCGACGGCGATTAGCGGCGCTGGCGCAGATATATAAATGTAACGCCCCTGCTCTTGTCTCGCGTCATTTTTTTTTTTTTTTTTTTTGCGGCTCATATTGACTTTTTCGGCCGTAAGTTTACTTGCCGCCTTTAAAGTATAAGGCTGCGGTTAATTGGACTCGAATTGCAAGCCTCTGCGGTCAGTTTCTGCGAGCAAAATTCAACTTTTGCGCTGGAGGCGACACGGATTTCTCTGTCATTAGGCAGGCACGCTAGGTACTTCCATGTTCCTATGGAGCTGGTCACGTAGCATAAAAATCCCCCTTGGCCGCAACCGCGGACGCAGCCGCGAGATGAGCAAACCGGCCCTGAAGGATGGTACGTTGGTACAGGGTATTGTAGCGACGCCATTTACCTCGGAGAATTTGGAGGCGGAGTCCCTTTCTGGGGTTTTTATGTTACAAGAGACTACTGTGCTGTAGAAGTAGTTTCACAACTATAGGGTCGCGCTCCTAGCCCCATATGTGCTCGGTGTCAGTGGTGTCAATGTATGGTCTTCATCCGCAATCGCCGTAGAAAGCAGTGAATCTAAGAAGACACGTGTTTACACAGTTGTGCTGACTCTATGGAGTGTTCGAGGGATATTGGCCTCAAGCTTCATGTAGACAAAGAAAACAGAGCAGCGTACGATTAAAAGAGCCGATACGGTGTTTTTGTTCATCAAGGAAAATGCGCGTGGAGATGTCAGTTTATGAAATCATGCGTGTGCTAATCCTTCGGTGATCCCCTGTGCCAATTGCCAGCTATAATTTAGTATCTCAAATAGTGTATAAAACTTTTACTGAAACGGAGTTCACGTCTATCGGTGGCTATTTCGAACGGTAGCGACCTTTAACACCAAACAGATGTTAAGAAAAAAAAATGGCAATGCGGAAAAACACGCGATTTTCTTTTTTAATAGATCGAACGCAAGGAATTAGATATATTCTTTTTATTTGGTTGCCTGAACCTGTCTCGTTGCATGTATGATGTTTCTTGAAGCGCAGCTTCGCCTGTGGCCTTTATCTAAGTGCATATCAGCTCTGTAGTACAACCAGTGTTGTGGGCGTTACAGAGAAAAGGTATTGAAATACGTTACTCGTTAGTTGCAAAATAAAGGAACGCGTTACCGACCTACGTTACAAAAAAAAATAAGAACGCGTGACCGTTACCGTTACAGATAAAAAGTGACGTCCGCTACTTTTGCGTTACTTTTTATTTATAAATAAACGGTAACAGCGTTTTTTTTTTTTTTTCGACAGCGTTTTTTTACACTGGGACAAACGGCGCGAGCGTTGGGGTTTTTCTAAAGTGAGACTGACTTTTTGCGTGGGGAAAAGACAGGCCAAATCGAAGACATCCTGGATCATTTCAGCCTAAATACCGACGACCAGTTCGCTCTTTCCACTTTTCCCCCACTTCCTCCTCTTCCCCCTTCCACCCTGTCTACCGTTGCCTGTTTCCTTCTTCCCCATGGTGAGGAGGATATTCTGCCTTGCAGAATCTTGAGTCTGGTCGTCGGCCTTTAAATCCAGACGCAGCCGATGCTACGAGCTAATGGGACCAATCAGACAGCGTCAAAAGCGCAACTCACTGGGCCTTTTTTTGTTTATGATTGGTTCAGCAATAATAGAACACGTACCGAAACAGGGCGAACACCGTCATAGCGATTTTTTGAAGTGTTGGGAAGAATGTGTAACGAGTCACGTAACTACGTTATCCGTTACTTAAAATAAGTAACGCAAGCACTTTACACGTTACTGTTTTGAAAATGTAACAAATACGTTACTAAGTTACATAAAATGTAACGCGTTACCTGTAACGCCGTTACTTGTAAGATGTTACTGCCAACACCAAGTGCAACACGCCTCAAACATATCCGTAACAGTTGAACAGTCGAGTTGATTTTCTGTGCCTTATGTTGGCACATCGATCTGTCAAAATAATAATTTGGACACGCCTGATCGGTGTTCTTCCATAAATACTTTGAATCCGAAGCTCTAGTTATAGTATAGGTCACAGATAACGCGAACTGCAGCATTATCGCGGACCATACGAATTTGAGTTTACTCGAAAGATTCCAACTCGAGCGTCCCCTTTCATATCGTACGTGAGAGTACCTAAGGCTGTGCGCCCAAACGGAGCCCAAGATTTTAATTATACACGCGGGCGCAAAAAGCTTCATCCAAATAAGCTCGCTTTGGACGTCAGACATTGAGCGCGTTGACTGATAACACGATGAAAGACGTAATGAAAAACAGATTCAATTACGAAGACACATAGTGTTCATTCCACGTATCCCCTCACCCCCTTTTTTTCCCGTGGCGTTACTCTCTTCGTTTCTCGAAGATTCATCCTTCGCCCAGACATTATTTTCCAATTCCTGCAAACGCGTTTCAAGGCGCCCGAGTTCCGCGCCTCGCACTAGTTGCGAGTTCCGCGCCTTACTTAGTCATCTGGCGGCAATTTTCGCCGTGTCGCTCCACCACCAAAGCGAGAAGGCTTACCGAGGGAGAAGCCGACGCTCTTTAATACAGGGTCATCAATCCTACATTAGATGCAAGACTCCTCAAACTTTCTCCCGCGACTCCGCTTCCCTTATTAGGGCACGCTGTGGCACGCGTCATTTGTGACCCCCCACCCCCGCAATCCCTGCACGCACGCACTATTTTACACGCTCACGAACACGCACATACTTTCTGAGCGCGTGGGACAGACAGGTCGCCGGGTACGCGCGCCTTTCTCCCTCCCCAGCGACCCCAGGGACCAAACGTGGCGAAAGTGGCCTCGGAAGACCACAGCGGGTCGTCAGGGGTTTCCCTAGAAGGAGCTAGGGCGTCCCCTTTTCGGCTCATTAAGGCGCAAGAGAAGAGCCAAGTATGTCTGACTCGTTCCACTGACAGAAAAGGACGCTCGTGCAAAACGCAGCCGGCTGCCGCTCCCTATCACAATGCGGGTCGGCAAGCGCTCGCTCGGCGCGTCGATATACATCGGGGGACGGCCGTTAAAATGGGAGACCCTCGGTTCCCCTGGCGCCAGCGTCATCAATCACGGGAGCGACTATGAGCCCAATAGGAAAGTGTGTTCGAGCCAAGTTGCCGGCGATGACGCATCTGTGCAGTCTCGGCGACGTCGTCTCCAGTCGAGACTCGCTTTCGGGTTCGCCGGGTTGGCGTCGATCGTCGCGCGGAGGGCTTGTTTTCACTGGGTTCTTGCCATTACGGTGCGCCTCCGACCATTACCGTTCTGCCCCGACTCGCCGAGACAAAAACGACGTAAAACGAATATTATATTGATCTGGAAAAAGGAAGATCGCGCACGGCGAAATCCCCGTAGGGAATGCAACACAACGCACGCGTGTCGCCGTTTCGCCGGTTCTGCGTTTACCAATTTCCCATTTAATCGTGTATTTTTAAAAAAAAAAACAGCTAATTTATCGGGCTTTAGGATTTCATCCGCACCCTAAAGGCGCCAGGTATTTTGAGGATTAATCATTAATATTCACTGGCTCCACGTAACGCCGCCACATATCTCAAATGAAAAGAATACAGATTACACGTAACGGCTAATGACGTTACGTGATTACAAATGAATACAGATTACACGTAACGGCTAATGACGAACACCAGATACTCTCTCCACGGGTGTCGTACAGACAAGGCCGCGAGAGAAAGCGAGTTCTTAAGAGTACGTACCCTTGAGAGACCCATGTTCCCCCGAGCTTGGGTTCGGACGGCGAGGTCTCGGCATGCTGGTTCCGGGCGAACTCCCTGGCCCATCGGAGGCAGCGGCCGTGGCCGTCTTCGCCGAAAGCCGTTCCCAGGATACCTGTACACATTGGACATATGCGGCGATCAATGTGACGCCTAAAGCTCTTTGCGCGACTTACTGCACTGTCGTCCTCTACAAGAGAGCATGACACAGGTTTCTGCCTTACAGTCCTTTCCGTAGTCGAGCAATCGGTCACCACGACCACAGAAAACATAACGTGCTACTTAAATCAACTACTCCTGAAAAAAGAACAAAAAACAACAACATTACTGCATTACTGTCACCTTTGCAGGCTGAAGAGAGCACTCGCATTGCTTATGCGTTCATTTAAGTGACCGTCATTGAGTCGAGAGAAAAGGCACAGCTTTTACAACTCTTCTAGTAACACTTCAATGCTACAGTGTGATAGGACGGGGTATTAAATGAATAGATTGAATACAATTAATTCATCGGAAATTGTTCATTTACATTTTCTTTTTTTTTTTATTGAGAGGGTATTAAATGTGTTGCCATGGTGAGGTAGTTACGTAAATGTTTCGTCGGAATTCTGCTTCTAAATGTGACTTTAGGAAAATACCAAAGAAGGAACAATAAACTTCGAAACGCAGTCCTCCACACAGTAAAGCAGTAATTTCTGATATTCAAGCATTGTCCATGAAAGACAAATTATAGATTAGTTGGCGTGTTCATTCAAAGATTTGATGCACCGTTTAGAAACAGGACCCACAGGCTCAGTTTTACTCAGAACCCGTGTACGGCGAATCCCAGCAATAAGCACTATGATATTTTTTCCCCAATGTAGGAAAACACCAAAAGGGACATTGGGATGTAACGTAAATCAAGATAAAATACTAAAGATTTCGGAAAATTGACAGGACGAACCGAAAATATAAAAATAAGCATACAAAAAACGTACAGTACATTCGAAGTGTTCAGTAGTCGATGACAACATATAGCTTTCAAAAATCGAGTCTAAATATTTCTTCAACGTGGTCGTCGCCATCTTGAATGGTGGGCGGTGCAACATTGCTTTGTTCTTGCCACGCCTTGGAAGATGTTCTTGTTTTACTACGAATTACTGAGTCGCCTAATGCCCGTGTCCCACTGGAGCGACAGACAGAAACAAACGACAGCGACAAGCCTCAAACTAGAGTCTTTCACGATTTGAGAGGCTTTGTAGAACAAAGGAGGCTATGCTCAAACACGAGCATCATGCATGCGATGGTATCTTTGGCAGGCAGTCGCTCGTGCTTACTTCAAGAGCACCGAACGACTAAACGCGTGCCAAAGGTATTATCGCAAGCATGCTGTATGGGTTTCAGGCTTGTCGCTGTCTTTTGTTTCTGTCTGTCGCTCTAGTGGGACACGGGCATAAAGCAACAAACAAAAACAACCGACACTGTCAAGCCTCAAGCACGTGCGGCTTGCACGAGGAGGTACCTTGGGCAGGCTCGAAATTTCTCGGTGCTCGTGAAGTAGGCTGCAGTGATTTCAAGCCAGGGTTCGGCAGAGATACACTAGAATGTAGTTGGAAATACTAATACTAGGATCCATGACGTAGACAGCTAAATATGATACCAAAATATATATGTACAAAAGTATCGCGATACGTATCAGAAATACATTTAAAGAATAGAAAAGTATTTGGAAGTGCAAATAGAGGAATACATTTTACCGGAGCAGTAATACTCACATACATTTATTTTTAAATATTCTGTGGTGTGAACGCTTGTATTAGCGGCAAAAAGTTATTTTTTCGTAAAACAAAAATGAAACAACTTTTATGCTACATATTTTATCTTTTCATATGCAAGCAATACAAGACAAAAGTAAACGTGCGACTTTGTTGCTACACGCGGCTACATTTTATGAGAAGTAGCTTTTTAGATAGCTCGTCGGTGAGCCGCTCCCGATTTAGGCCAAGAGTCATGATAGCGACCGAGATTAAGCGTTCCACAAGTGTCAACGAACGCGGGCTTATATTAAAACCAACGAAGCCCGACTTCACAGTGGGGAAGTTTCAAACAATGCAAATATTGTTTTTTTGGTTTCTATGTATATAAAGACCTCACTTGGAGGTGGTAAAAAGTAGGCTTCGTTGACAGGCTTTCTACTTCTGAGGCAAAAAACGACTCCATTAGTGAAAACAAAAAATCATACTAACCGTGAGGTAAAGATTTATGTTATACTTGGAGGTTCTCGAGCCCGAAATAATTTTCGCATAAAATTATCGTTTTCCGCTATACATAAAGCTCTGGGAACTAAGCGAGTCTTCAGTATGTCGGAAGTACTTTCCATCCAGAATGCAGTGCAGTTCTCCTTTAGATATATTGCACGCCTTCGAAGCAATATCACATGAACCTCTAAATTTGTTTACCACCTACCCAAATATCCCTGAAACGTCAGCATCATCTAGTATCATGTCGGTAGCTTTGGTTCCTTTTCTGCAGTAACTTCAAAATGCCGCCTTGGAATGAAATGATGTTGTTTTATCTGATGATATGAAAGAAGAAAAATTACGCCTGCCCTAGTAAATGGGGCTGGGCGTGCAATGTACAGTTGTAAAGCTCGTACTCAGAGTGCCTTCAACATTTTGATTTTACAAAAAATAGTTGCCGAACTGAAGCACCGCATAAGACATAAGTTATCTTCGGAAAATAGAGAAGGGACTCACCAATGTCGGGGCCATAATGTTCGAAACGAATCTTGGTCTCCTAGGTAACAAAACCTGAAGGCCCCATATACTGTACTTTCTACTCCTCTGAAGCACGTAAGAAGGAAGGAAACAATCTACTGAGCTTTTGTGTGGGGGTCACCGATTTCTCGAACATTGTAATGAGATTCGTTGGCCCGAGATTATAACGCGATACCAGGAATACACCGAAACTTTATTCCGATACTGAAATACAGATACTAATTGAAAAATGGTATCGCGATACAGAAATGTAAATACCAGAAGTAGCGATACTGCCGAATCCTGTTTCAAGTCTGCCAAATATACGTTCGCGTGCGTGCTGGCCGATCCTGAGGTTTGTCCGTGTCGGTGGTTTCTGTCTAGTGCAGGGGTGACCAAACTGCGGCTCTTCGCAGGTTCAAGCGTGGCTCGCAGCTCTCTGGTAAGCGTGCCCCCCTTCCCCTCCCGTGTCTCCAAAATAAAACAAGTTCTAGCATTCAGGAAAAAAAAAAATTCACAGTCTTGACATTTTTTTACTAAACAACGTGCACATTGAGCTTTTTGAAACGTAGGTGTGTCCAGTGACCCTGTTTTTCTTTATTGTACTAGAAAGAATTTCGAACCGTATACGCATACCGGGCGTCAGGGGCAGTGGCTGCTAACTAGCAAACTATGCATTATTATTATTTTTTTTTTTTTTTGCGGTTGAAGAAACGTTTTGCTGTTTGGTGCTATTAGGTGTTGTCGTGAATTATACTTGTCTTCTTTGGAAAGGACTGTTACCTCCAGATCGCTCCTTGTCCAAAGTAGCCGCCCCCACCACTTTTTTTTTTTATTTTTTTCTGCGGCTCTCTGAACTTTTGTAGTTTTGTTTGCAGCTCTAACCTCATGTCGCTCTGGTCATCCCTGGTCTAGTAGGACTAGTCCCACTAGACCAGACCTAGTGGGGCTAGTGATGACGTCACGAAAGGGGGGGGGGGGGGGGGGGGGGCGCAGGCCTTATTAATTATTTGTTCCAAGTTGTAAAGTTTTGCTGGTTATTTTATTTAATTTTTGTATCGCTTGCCGGATATATGAATTAAGTGGCTAAGAATGACGGTAACTGAAAAAGAAGGCTGTAATATGGAGATTTAGCAAACCGTTACCGTGTTCCGCGTACGGCACTATACCGGGAGCCTATGACGCATGATTTTAAGCGCGCGCCCGGGCGATACCGTGACCGTGGCGGGCCTGCTTAAAAGCATGCTTCAAAGGCTCCAGTAATGCAGAGCGCGGAACACGGTAACGGTTTGCTAAAAGACCCCAATAAGAGCAGTTACCGCGAACGTAATTCAGTTAACTTAAACTGCAGTCACCAACACGCCGGTTGAAAAATAAAAGAAACCTTTATTGGCCTAAGAAAAAACAATTCGTGAAATATATATATATATATATATATATATATATATATATATATATATATATATATATATATATATATATATATATATATATATTCTTTTTTTTTTTCAGCACGTATTTATGCGATGGCGCGTCGTTTTCGTCGATGTGCCGGGCGAAACGTGAAAGATCGGGAGCAGCCTCCGTGATCCTTTCGGGCCTTCGCTGACAACAACAAAGCGAAGAGGAGGTGCCCCGCTGAAGTGACCTTCCTTTTTTGGAAATCGGTTTCCTCGCTGGAGTTCCTCTATGCGCCTCAAACATTTCTTCCTCAGTTCGTCCACTTCACCTGACGTGCAGACGCGAGCGCGTTCTGTCCCCTTTTTCACGCGCCAGGTTGAAGCATCCCGGCAGAAACCGAGAGAATAAAATAGGGGAACGTCTCTTGAAAACACAAAATTGCATCGTTCCACAATATTTCCACGTTTGTATGCATGGAGGTGTTGAAAGAACAAGAAAAAAAAAACGCGAAATGGAATAGCCTCTTCTTCCTATTGGAAGGAGTGGCCATTCTTTCTGTCCCTGTCAGTTCCGGAAAAGTATGTACATGAAAACATTAAAGCATCAGACGTAAACAACCTGTCATTTCAGGGTGGGTTTGAGTCCTCGTGTGGTATTTCTAGTTCGATCGTCCAAGTGGTGTTTGGGAACATGCTCAGTTTGCAACACTTCACGGCTTTCGAGCGTTCTCAAATGCTCGCAAAACTTTCTTCGTGAGCAGGATATCTTACGATACGATCTTAAAAAAGAAAAAAAAAACGCGTGTCTATTGTTCCCGAAGGTGAATCAACGTGGTTGAAAATTCGAAGGAAAAGAGCGAGATTGCGGTGCTCGATCGCATAGGAACAATTTTATGATATTTTGCACCAAACGTCATCTCGGGGTTTGGAATCATGAGGGTATTGAACTTCGGTTACTATTTTGAAGACATGGAAGACATGGC